TTGACCCCTTCTCTGGAAACATTCCAAGTGAGGTTGGATAGGATCTGAGTCACCTGGTCTAGTTGAAGACAACCCTGCCTATAGCAGAGGCACTGGACAAGTTGACCTTTAAAGGTCCCTTCCAACCCAAGCTATTCTATGATTCTACAATATCTACCTAAAATGAGTGCAATGCCCCAGACACAAATTGTGGGCAGCTCATGCTGTACCCACAGTGGCAGAAATTTGCATCCATACAAATTATTCCTCAGACAGGGTATGTCTGATCATTAAAACATAACTTCCTTAATAGCCATTAAGGTCAGGGGTGGTTTAGTTAAGCCAGTTCTAAAAGTCCAGCAAATAAGCTTGCTCATCTAAGCTGGTAATAAATGCAGCTGCACATGGAATCATTCCATGTGTGAGGGAAAAGGAAGAGGAATCAAGAAAAAAACAGTAAGGAGTCGACAGGAAAACACAGCTATAGGGTTTCACTAACTCCAAAATATTTGCAGAATACATTAGTAGTTAATTCAGCCCCCCATGGGAAAAAGCTTAAAAATTATGTAGAATCACTGACCCCACTGGAGGCACAACACCAAGGCACATGGGGGAACCTGAGAAACCAAACCTCTTCTCAGTGACCCTATGTAATGAATAACCATCAACCTCCAGTGAAGAGCAGGCACAATTTCCCCTTTTCTTTTACCAGCCTCTAGGAAAAAAAAAAAAAACCAAACGAAAAAAAAAAACTCCTAGGCAGCTGCCTAAATTGAGTATTGAAGTTTCACATAGTCAGGTTATTCTTGAATAAATCAGAGGAAAGTGTTCAAATAGAGCTGTGTTGGGAGAAAAAAAAGAAAATACTTTGGAAAAATCTTCACATCTCTCTTTTACATTGATCCAAGAAGCTAACAGGCAATTAACTGCTGCAGTGGTACACTGCCACCTAGAAGAAGCACTTCAAGAGATCACAGACATCCCATCTGATTATTAAAGAGCAAAGATGCCATCACACTGACCAGATCTTTGCAGTCTGACCTTTGAATATTAAGTTGTCACTGATACACGCACCTACCAGACAAATGCTTAGCCCAGTGAGAGACTTTATAATTGAAAAAAAGATACAGACTGATGCCAAAAAATGTAGAATGCCTTTCCCATTAAAAAGTTAACCTACATTGATTTACTCCATGTGCATATCTGGCTATTGTGATAATAAATTGACAAAAGAGCCTTTGAGGATGGCCAAAAAAAATAACTTCCTATGGAGGTTTCTGGCCGTGAAACCTATCTCAGAAATAAAAAAGTGCAATTAAAAAACCAAGACAGATCAAAGAGCTCAACAGTAAGATATCATCTTCTAGACAGAATTGCTGCACATTTGCTGTTCACAAAGGCTAGGCAGCAGGGCTTTGTTATTGGGTTCCCCCCTGATATCACTGTTCTCAGCTCTGCCTAAAGGAAGCACCCTGTGAAATGTCTGTCTCAGCCAGGGGAAGGAGTCATGCAGCCAGGGGGACTTCAGCCTTTGACATTTGTTGTTCTATGGAGCACATAAGGAGCACAATAGTGTTTTTTCCCAAATAAGCAGCAAGAAAAAAAAAATAAGGAAAAAAAAAAAGCCCAAAAACTAACTATATAATGTCCCCAAAATGCCCTGATCATCTGATGCATCTAAACATAAAAGGTTTAAATCAGAGATGAGAAGTTTAGATTTTCACCGCTTCAGATTTTATTTAACTAAAATCAGGACTTCCTGGGAACACACAAATCCTTAACGTCAATTCAAATACAGGCACAGCAATTCTATGTTTCTCCTGCACAGAAACAGCAAATCATTGAAAGGTCTAAACTTTCCACACTGCAATCCAAAATAGTTTCTTACTATTAAAATAGTTTCTTAAATAGTATATAACAAAATAGTTATAAAGTATAAACAGTATATAACAAAATAGTACATAAACAAAATAGTTTCTTAAATAGTATATAGTGGCCATACTTTAGGAGCTCCCTGCACAATTCAACAACTTAATATTTGCATCAACTTTGTCCATTTTATGAATGGAATTGAATGAATTTTCTCTGTAAAAAAAATATGAAAACTTTTGTCTTATGTTAGCAGTTGGTCACTTAATTAAAGATTAAATAAACTTTACAAAGACCTTCAAATCATCCAAAGCAATGGAGAAAAAAATTTTAAAGTATTTTTTATTGCACCAAAGAAAGTGGAATGCTTTAATTTCTTATTCACCATCACTTTCTACTGCTGGAGCATTCAGTCTCTGTTTATCCCTATGAAATCTCTGCAAGACCACAATATACTCTGTGCACGGACTAGATAATGCAAAAAATCTCCCTATGAATATTTACACCAGCACAGCAAACACATTAGTGTCACTCACACATTGAAGGAACTCCATTACAGAGTGCTGTCTAATCTGTGAATTAAGCCACAAACTGGTCTTTCATCATATAATAATAAATTCAAAGGAACTCTGAGATGAAATATTTTATCAAAAGCAATGATGATTATACTGAACGATGCAATGAACCCTTGGCTAGTAATTCCAGTGCTGGAATAAGGGACATTTTCATGCTTTCTGAACAATGCAGATTGTCCTAGAGAAATGGATGAGCTGCTCTGACCAAAACACTTTTCACCACACCACCACATAAAACCATAACAGCAGAGAGCTCCAGGGGGCTTGGGGGGGGTCACTGCACAGCACTGATGCTGTGCTGCCCAAGGCAGGATCCATTACACCTCTGTCATTTCTAAAACACTTTCTCATCCCTTTCCTAGAGAACTCCAACAAGTGAAACTTCAAAACTCCCCAAGGAGTGCATTATCTTTGCTTTAGGAAGCATTCCCTAAAGAATCTTGCTCTAAGTCTATTGCTTATTATGGTCACCACAAAATTCTACATAACCTTTTTCATTTTGCATTAATCCCTATGCACATTACTATGTCTTTCTCAGATGACTTTCAACTTTTATTTTTTTTTTTCTCCAAGCAGGTCAACAACTAAGGCTTATAGTGTAGTATAGCTATAGTCTCTTCTTTCATGGCTCATGAAATGTGTGGTTTAGAAATGCTCTTTTCATTCCAGAATTGTGTTCCACCTTTTTATAAAGGTAAAATTCCTCTTATTCTTGAAAATTTATAAACCACTATAATCTCATTACTTTTTTCTAAAAGAAACAAAAACAAAACCCAACAACAACAAAAAACCCAAACAACCCAAACCAACAAATCCACCAAAATCAGCAGCTTCTCATCTTATACTTGTGTTGATTATTTCTGTGTAAGTTGGATAACACAGCACTATTTATTCCTGCTAAATTTCATCCTACCTTTTCAGACCAGACTTCATTCAACAAAGACAAATTTGACTTTTAACTTTGTCCTGCAAAGTGTTGGCTATTCTTCCCACTCTGATGATTCTTTCCAGAAAATCTCAACCTTAGTTCTTGCTCCATCACTTGGGTCTTCCATTACATCATTATTCATTATGTTTACTGCATAAAACCAAATCAAGGCAGCATGAGATGGGATTTTGACCAATACCCCCTTAATTTTGACCAGGAATTTTTCTTTGTTAACTATGCTGTGGTTATCCTATCCAAACAGTTTTTCAACAGTTTTTCTACTTCAGATACTTATATAACAGAAATAGGACACTTTTTATGGGCTCCTTTCCATGTCTGCCCCTTTTATTTTCATGAGAGGTTTTACATTTCATCTTTTCCAGTCTTCTGATTCCAAACTCATGCTCTGTAACCCTTCAAAGTCAAGTAATGGCCTGAGTCTGCAGTAGCATTCCTGCTCTAGCCTAGATCTCACACCTTTCTAGCTCAACAAAAGGAAAAGAAAGGCATTTAAGCTTTGAAAGGAGACTGAAAACTAGCAATGATATCCACCAGTTCTGTAAACACACCAGAGCATGAGGAGGGCTCCTGTATTTATAGAGTGGTTTGTGGATCCCCATGATACTGATTTCCAGGGGGAAGTGGATTATGTGGGAGGTATTGAGGAGTGGAGGCAGAAAGACACTACAAGTAGTTGCTTTTGAGAGAAATTTCTTCCTTTTTTGTCCTTCCTTCTGATTGCCTTGCCCTTGGAAGGATGCATAATAAAAAAACTGGAGGCATTTCATCAAGGAGTTTTTTTCTGTCCCCTGCCCTTTTGCCACAGAAATCTCCATTGAAAATGACAGTGTGGTTCATGTTCAGTGAGCAACAGCACCCATTCAACAAAAGATATATGCAGAGTGTTAATTAGGGTGAATTTTGCCAAGTATTCTCTCTTTCTCTGTGCAAGTTACTGGCAGCCATTGAGAATTCCAGTTTGTTAAAGCTGGCCAGCAAACTTGTGTCAAAGGAAAGGTATCTCTTTAATAAATATTGTCAAATTTGGGTTGGTTTTTTTTATTTTCCTCTCAAATGAGTTAACCTTTCAAGGTTTTTAAGAGGCACTGAAGGTTGTTTACCAAGAAACTGAAGGGTGCTTTCATTTTTATGTCCAAATATTTCATGTGAACTCTGGACTCCTTTCACACTCTTTATTCTATTAAACTACCTATTAGAGCATCTCGGCCTCAAACAAGCTCAATCTAGTTCTATCTATAATATAAAACCTTTGAGATAGAGAAGTGAAGTATGACTCTAACTGCATCAGCAGCTCAGACCTCAGCTACACAAACTCATACCTGAAGACAAGAACCATATCATTTATCTGTTACATTCATGACACAAAAACAAATGAAGACCAGACACGATGCCTGCCCAGACTCCCCACGACTGCTTTGGGCATGTTGTAACAGAGAATTAACCCACCAAATGGCAGAAAAATTGGGCCACAGCGTGCTCAGAAATTTAAACCGCAGAGAGAACAATAATCCATGGGCATGTTGAAAGGATGAAGTCTGAATGAGAAAACTGCATTATTTATAAGCTAATTATGAGCATACATATTTTTTATCACTGCACTGTGACCTGGGGCTTAAGTGCTGAGGAGCCTTGAAAAGACATGATGGCTCAGAATGGAATTAACTTTTAAAAGAGCATTTTCACAGCTTCAGGTCTTTTTATGAGCACCAGCAATCTAAGAAAAGAAAATGAACAGAGCAAAGTCACTAGAGGAATTTTTCTTTCCAATAAAACAAAGGTTTAGGAAAGATTCTGCACCCCCAGACATTAATCCAACCCGACAATAGCAATAAATAACAATCACAAGATAATCAGTGCTCAACCTTAGAAGCATAAACATATACATCTTTCTCAAGCACACAAACTGCAGCAGACAGATGGGGTATCCAGATCTCTAGATTTTGACTCTTTCCCTCTTACTGACAACTCATCAAATCTTTTGATGACTATTTTGTGTCACAACACAGTTGTGCCCCTTCCCCTGGCACACAGGGATTGCTTATGCTCACTCTTGGAGTGACGCAGTCTCAGATACACTTCAAGTCATCACATCTCCTCTGAGAGGAACAAACTGCCTTGCCTAAGTAACCTTTTTTTTTCATGCTCACAGAATCATTTAGGTCATCAAGTCCAACCTCTGACTGACTGATCACCACCACTTTGTCAACTGGACCAGAGCACTGAGTGCCTCATCCAGTCTCTTCCTGAACACCTCCAGAGACTGTGACTCCACCACATTCCATGTTTAACAACCCTTTCCAAGAAAAAATGCTTCCAAATTTCCAGTACATGCTCCTGTGAGTAATGATGCCCCGCTGAGGTATTCAGCAAGATGAAAAGATGTGTCTATGAGGATGCGAGAATTTCTTTATCTACAGAAGCACAGAAAAAACTCTGTAATGTCTATACCACATTCTAGGGACCTGTTCTGGACAGAAATGACCTCCAGCACTGACTGACAAAGTCCTAAACTCCAGATCTAGAACACATTGTTTGGATAATATTATATAGGCTATAATATAGCCTTGGCACTCTTCAGTTTCTTTTACTATACTTCCTAAAGTACACAAAGCCTCTGTTCTTGACATTTTGTACAATTTCATAAGGAAACTATCTGGAAAACATCTGGTTTGTCAAAGGACCTTGAAAATAACTAAAACGCCACATATGTGCCATCATATCATACAGTTTCTTCAACTGGAAGTCAGCTGCTAAAAACCAAACACTGCAACCCCTTACAGGAGGAAATAGAGAACCCAGGCTAGTATTCAATGCTTACACCTGCCTATTCCCTGAGTGCATATCTGCCCCCCCACTGTAATCCTGAAGGCCATCAGCAGGATGAACACAGCCCCAGTATCCTCGCATCTTCTTTGCACATGCAGAAACTGAGGGTCACTCCTTCCCCACCAATTTGCAAGAAAAATGTACAGAATGGGTGGTTATTGGCAAGCTACCAATTACAAAATTAAAAACCTGTGTGCCAAATGGGACAGCTGCATCAGCCACTGCTGAGCTATATGCAGACCTGCCAAATATTAGTCACCTCACTTAGGCTGAACTGGGATGCATCTGAGCCAATGTCAAAAGCACAGTTAAAAAGTCATTTTTCTCCCATGGAATGAGCTCCTTTTCAATTACCGGTTAGAAACAAATCATACAAAATATGGCACATGATGGAAACGAAACCACACAGCAGAGACTAGGACAACTTCTCCCCGTAGTACAGTGACACCTCAGGCAAAGCTGTTCACAGGAACAAGATGCCCTCAGCAAAAAAGTACCTTACACATGCATTCCTTGTTATTAATAAATTAAATTATATACTCACCCTACAAGAGCTTTCAAGCATGAGAACATGGGTAAGACTGAAAGAGAAAATAAAAAATTTTTAATTTTAATTTCTTGTTAAGTTTTACATAAACACTGGCTTCTTTCCCCTAGTCTTTTCAGGAAACAAAAATTTAGAGTTTTTACATTAAAGTAGCAGAAACCAGAGACAGAAAGGCATCTTTTTATGTGAGATGTTTTCTTTTAAGGAAAAAAAAAAATTATATTACTTAAGGAAATAAACCTTGAGTAGATCTGACTAGGCTATGCAAGAATCAGTGAATTTGTCTCAAAGTGTCCATCACTGGATTATAAGAACTGCATGACTCCGATCAGATTTATTGTAATTTCTTTTCAGGAAAACAGTAATTTGCTGGCTTTTCTCAAGAGTACTTAGATTACACAATCTGTTTCAGCAGGACCAGCCTCCAGTCAAAATTTTTCTCAGAATCTCTAAGTTCTCTTTTATTTACATTACCACAAGATATTTGTTTCTGAGCAATGCCCAGAACTGGTTCTTGTAATGGCAATGAGTCACCAAACTTTTTGTTTGGCCTGTTGACCAATAAGATGAATTGCAGCTCTAATTCAAAACACCATTGCTTCCTTAATCACAAGCAGGTAAGAATAGGCAAAAAGTAATAGGAATTCTGTCTGAAACTCTGCCGTTGGCTTTTATCTCATTTCTTGTCAGTCATTTACAGGAACTTTTTTCTTCAAACGCAACCTATTTTTCCCTTTATGATTGTAGAATTTTTAGAAAGACCTTTCATCATCTAATCCACTTTTTAACAAAAATAATTGCAATTGGCTTTCTTAAAATGAACGCTGAGGCTATCTTTCTTCTCTGCATGAAATGTGCCCTCTTAAAAAGCAGCCCTGCATCCCTCCAAGGAGCAGGCAGCAGAGCTTGTCTCAGGAGAAGGGGACAGAGTTTTTAGCCACCACCACTGCCATCCCTTCCCTGAAAGGACACAGCAAGTCAGGCAGCGATGCTGTGCTTCATTTCCCCATCTGTGCTGCCTTCCAGCATCCCAATATATATTCACTAAAGGGTATGAAGTGGCTCCAATCGCACAAAACACCACAGAAAAAGTCTGAGCCTTTTCCTCAGTCAATCAGGTGTTAAGAGTGCATGGGCTATGCTCTTATGCCCCTTCTCTTCCCAGGCAGGACACTCTAGCTCCCAAAAAGAGATTAATGACTTCACCTCAAATCTTAAAAAAAAAAACTTTAATATGTGTCTATGTGCATTTTAATTAAACTAATGAAATCTAATATACATTAAGATTTGCAGTAAGAACAGCATAGAATAACAATCATCTTGCACAAAAGTTCCTTCAGATTTTACTATTGTTTAATGAAAAGAGCAGCAACTCCATCTATAGGGGAAACCCATCCCAACAAGGAGGCACCAATTAAGTATCCTCCATCTTTTTATCTTAATCTGAGGGTGTTGTTCTGCACCATTGATTTTTAAGCAGAAATCCCCACTGAACTCAGTGGGGATTTCTGTTCAAAAATCAATGCTATGATATAGCTTAGCATATTTAAACTCACCCTGGACTCTGCTTTAGTCTACTTTCTTTCCTGCTTCTTCAGCATGGCTAGAAAACTGTTATTTTTATGTCTCTATTGACTACATTTTAAGATATTAAAACCAGACCCCACACGAGTAACAACAGTTATTATTTTTACTGTTTTAAATATAAACCTTGATATGCTGGTTTTCCATAAAATGTCACAGTGGTAGACAAAGTGCAGCTGAGCTGTGTTGTGAGGGAGAAAGCAGGATGCAGCAGACTCGGAGTGAGTACTAATACACTGGGAAAACTAAGAGTCTATTGAAACCAACCTAGAAATGTGGTTTCTTTCCAACCCTGTGTATTGCTTTTCATTTACTTTGTAGTCAGGGCACATGAGAATTTGTTTGAAGGATGTTTACTGTACTTTTGCAAGCTCCTGTGTGTGATGCACTGGCTTTCACTCAAATATAAATCTTCTGGCTGTCTATAGAGACTTCGGGACTACTGGGACATGAACACACACAGAACCAATTGTTTCTTACTGAAGAAAATTAGAAATGTCATTTTTTTAGAGTATTTGAGGATTTTTTTTCCTGCAGAAGAAAAAGGTTTCTATAAACTTGTTCAATTAACTGTGTAAGAGAGAAAACATTCCTATAGCTCCTCCAGCTGCTTCTTGTAGTTCTCCTTAACAGCTTCCTCTCCTCAGCCATGCCAAACTGCATCCCAAGTCTTGGACTGTGGGTCCAAGGTTTCAAGTAATTTTGAAACCTTCAAAATTCAAACCTTCAGTCATGAATTGGTTTGCCCTGGATCATCCAGATTTAATTCTACCACAGTCCCAACAAACAAACAAGGCAGAAAGGGATTGGGCTCTACATTGTCTGCATTTGTTCATCAGTTTAGCTGAAGACACTGTTCAGCTAAGGAGCTAGATCAGGAATCAGGGCTTATCTCCTTGCCACCTTGGAACATAAACGCTTAAGTACGTTTTAGAAAATAGTAGACCTGTTCATGAACCAAACCCAGTGTAAATATATAGAATCAAAAGAAGTTTTGATGGATGCTGGAACAATGTCAAGGAACCAGGCAATTTTAAGCAGACTGCATTGCTCTAAAGGACAGAGACAGTTCTCACAGTAATAGTGAGAATGTATCATCCTGAAAAAAGCCAAAAATTTACAGTAATCGCCAGCAACTTTCCTGGGGTCTGCTAAACCCACTCTCTAATTCCTCTTCCACACAAGTCTAAAAAATGGAGAGGCTTTGGGGCTGCAGGGACATACACACAGGGGAAGACAAATGTACTCTTTGCTTTAGAGCAGCTCCTTTCACGACCAGAATGAAACAGTCTTTATAATATGTGCCTGCTCTGATCCCATGAAAATCAATGTCAGACTATACTGATTTCATGGGAGAAGCCTTGTGATACTTTAAAAGGACAAACTGTGAAAGATCAAGAATGGGCTTGTCATAATATGTATTTATGTCAACTGCAGTAGAGCTTATCTTTGTATCTGGCTAAGGATCTCAGTGCAGCCTTGATTTCATGTCTGCCTCTGCATTATGCCTGTATATTTGCAAAAAGAGCAGTTGGTAAGTGAGGAGCTAAAGCATCTTGAAAATATTCTGTAACCACATTTCCTGCTACTTCTTCAAAATAGGTGAGATAATTTTAACAGCAAACATTTTGTCTCCTGAAAGTTACTGATGCAGCATTTAGTTACATAGATCATCAAACTGGGTGAATATAAATCACAAACCACAATTTTCTGTGCTTTCCTGTAGGACTCTGCTCAAGAGAGCTTTTTTAGATCAACCATAGTTGAGCAAGTTTGCTGTCACTTTGTGATATAGTAGGAGCCAGTCAGCACCAGATATAGTGCTCATACTGTGAATAATGCTGCAGGCACTGATGCCTTACCACCTTCTGAATTGAGCACTGATGTTATTACACTTTGCTCTAATACAGACTTTAGGGAAACAGTACAGAAGCCATTATTTCTGAGACTGAACACAGCAAGAACAGAAGGCTGAAATCGCAGGATACACCCTTAAAATCAGGGGTCCTACAGAAAATCCATAATATGGCTATTGTTCCAGGCTTTCTAACAAGTAGCTGATAGAAAAGGTGCTGTTAAGAACTGGTTTTCCTTGCTAAAGAGCTTCAAAATTCAAGCAGTATTCTATCCCACCTGTTCAGAAAAAAACAATGCTCATATTTCAATAGGAGCCTTCACATGAGAAGTTCAAATTACTTGCAGAGCTTAATTTGTCACACCTAATTGCTCACTATTCTAGTAAAATATCTCACCATCCTAGTAAATGTCTCACTGTGCCAGCAAGACAGTGAGATATTGTCCTGATCTTGGACAGAGGGAAAGCAGAACATTAAACAGAATGCTGTAAAAGTAATGAAACTTGAAAAGAATCCAGATCTCCTGTTAAAAGGCTAGCTAAAATCTTCAATTCCCAGTACACAGAGAAACTTCAAATTTTTATTCATTTAGATAATAATGATAAATCTTTTCCTACTATACTTCCCAAAAGCCTAAGACTTTTAATATATTTCATGAAATTGTATTTAAACTTTAACTTCCCTCTTTTAATAGTACTATCTTGGTATAATGATATGACATGCCCTCAGTTTTCTATCACTTTAGGTCTACAAAAGTAGCTTCCTCCTAATATACAGTGAATATTTTTTGTGTTGGTGTTGTAGTGAAACTCATGTTGTGAGCTACTAGACATTACTGCTATAGATAACTCAAGAAATACTTTTAAATAGTATTAAATAGAGAAACTCGTGTTGTAGAGCTAATTATCATAATTAAACCAGAAAGGAGCTCAGGAGAAATGAAACTTTTGGAGTGTGCAAGAGCTGGGGTTAAAAAAGGGGCCAAGGACTTCTGGAGAAAGACACAGGTGTAGAAGCAACCTACATGCTTTTGGGAATGTCTCTGGGAGAAGCTGTTTGCAAACAGCCAAGCAATTCCCTGTGAGAAACATCTGCTTTGCCACCAGCAAGTTAGCAGCAGGAAAAAGGAGACTGCAAGGATAATTTCCACACTTTGTGTAAACATGTGTATAATAACCACTCACTCAGACCTGGTTCTTCCTTTTTCAGTCTTTAGGAAGACATAGCCAAATACTCGTCTGCAGCTGACCCAAGACACAGAGCAAAAGTCCTCTCATGTGTTTCTCTGTAAAACTTTCACATCAAAAAATGTACAGCTGCAAGTTTTTTGTTTCTCTTTTTATTCTTTATCTTGTGGATCAATCTCTTGAGAAAAGGAACACGTTCAGTACAAGCCCATCTCAGGTGCTCTCCTGATGGTAAAAACAAAACCCATCATTTCTAAAAAACCCCAGGTGAGGCTGGGAAGGAGCATCTAGTTACAAGACAGAAACCACAGCCATAAACAATTATACTTTCTCAAACCAGTAGGATCTATCCCAGTTCTAGTTCAAAATCCCTACCAGAATGCCTGTTTTCCCTTTCTACATTGGGT